TATGCCCTGTCCCTTTCTTGTGCTGCGTTCCATCCTGTAATAGATTAACATCCTGCACTCTATGATTTTCTGTAGCCACTGATAGCCTGGAATCCTGCTGTGTTCCTCTTTCTGGGAACTGCCTCTTATACACGCATTGTGGTCCATTCCCTTGGTTATGGAGGCTGTGAGGCTTTGGCATATTTCACGTTTGAATCTCCCTGTATCCTCATTTAATGTCTTTATTATAAGTGCATGAGGGATCATGAAAGTCAGACGTCCTCATCAGAGGGTGTATAAGAAATGTCACACCATTATGTAAAGTGTGTTGTTCCCAAGATGGTCCCTTACAAAATAATACTCTACCTTCAGACACACTCTTGAATTCGTAAGTTGGTAACTTTTTTGTGTGGTGAGAATAGCACCCTTTTGGATGAACAGGAAGAGGAAGTTTCCAGGCTCCGCACCCAGGGTTTGCTATCACTTAATTTAAGGTTTGTCCTTTGAATTCAACAATAGCCTTTGTGTACTGGGAGATAAAATGTTCTTTGGAAGGGATGAAACTGAATTGGCATTATACATACAATCAAAGAGAATTTTTGTAGGCAGAGAGAAATATATTGCTTATTTACAATGCACTTTAGTGTGTGTGCGCATTTGTGTACAATATTTATTCATTCATTTTGTCACAGTAGTTTAACAGCTAGTCTTGGGAATCTTTTTTTTTTTTTTCTGTACCATCCACACGTTATACAAACCTAAAGGGAATTTTAACTGCATTTTCCAAAGCGACACTATTCTGACATGAAATCTTGGCAATTAAATTTGCTGAGCCGAGGGGTGCTGGCTGAAATACTGCAGTGTGCCGTTTTAACACAACCGCACCCAAGCCTAGTGATAATTTTTAATTGGTGTGTAAAAGCTTTACCCTTCTCACTCCACTGCTCGTATTTGTGTTCCTTGCAATCGATCTGCCCTCTGCTGGTCTGGTGGAATCATTGCTGTACACAGTATTTGCCTTGAGTCCCAGACAAATGTAGTGTCGTAATTAATCCCTTTGCGTCAAATCGGGAGTCGGAAGCTGCTTGTGTAGAATTTCAGTCAGTTTTTTATTGTATCCATGTAGTTACATCCAGTACTGAACACTGCAGGATTGTGTCCCATGCTGATTTTTTTTATATACTTTTTCATAGCTCTTGTCAAGATATTCATCACAGGGGGTGTCCCAAGCCCAGTGTTCTCTGTGCCTCCCCTTCTGGAGCTCAGAGTCCTTGCCCTTAGCTGTCTTTACCATTATTTGTGTGTTTTTGGGGTCCAACTACTTTCTCTCTGTATGAAAAGGCTGTCAGTCAGTTCTGTTGATTGTCGAACCCTCTGGAAAACATAACTGAGACAATATTGTTTCTTTGTATAATTATGGCCAGAAGCACAGGACCATGTCACAACAGTCAGAAAGCAAACTTCCCAGGTTTCATTGATTAAAAAGTAACAACTCTTTGCAATTTCAACTGGTCCTGTGATGCTTTGCCACATAACTCACTTTTCTGGGCCTTCAAAATACCTATAAGCTGCGAACTAATGAAAGTGCATATTTGTGCGACTGAGGCTAACGTGAGATAGCTAATAGATACAGTAACTTCTGAACACAAGGTACTTATTCATACTTTTTTGGTTACATTGTGCAGCAGTAATTAGTCTGCATTCTCTAAAGGTTACAAGGGCGCTCTACATGGTTTACATCAGCTTCTGATTACATCATCTTAATAGTTTCGTAATGATTACATTCTCTGTTATGCAGTGCTAAATGATATTCCATAGTGGTATGTAGACAAGCGAGCATAACTTTGAACTAAGTTAAACCCTCTCCTTACAGACTCCCGAGGGGCAGAGACGGCAGGGAGCCGCACGGAGCCTCGGGGGCAGAAGCGGCCTCATGGCGAGAGAGGGAGGGGCTACTATGAGTTCAAGGAAGAGATCAACTACAACAGGTACCTGAGCTCACCTGGATACCAGCTCTTATACTTTGGTAGTTAGCTGTGTTTAGACAAGGATGCCTTGCTGAAATGTGTAAAAATTTCCATTCCATATTTCCATGAGGAGCAATATTGCAAATGAGCAAAAATAATACAGCACATCAAAGGAGTATAAATGTATAAGCAGATTGCGATGCTGAGTTTGACTTGGTTGGTTTTCTCTCCAAACCCTCCCTTCTTGCCTCCATAGATTACACTTCTTTTCCTTCATGGTCACTGCCCTGTTTTCTTTGTCGCGAGCATCTTTGACCCTTTATTCTGTTGGCTGCTGTTCATCTCTCTTAATCTGTCACATCACTTTAATTGTGCGAGTTCCCTGGAGCCAGCAGTGTGATGTTTCGCTCTTTTGCGAGAACCTCCCCACAGGTGTCCAGTGGGTGGCGCTGTGGCCGGACTTGTGATGGCCCTGATGGTGCGGTGTGCTGTAGAAGCAGGCCGGGGGAGGGGTCTGCTTGTGCTCTCTCACGCCTTTTCCCCCACACAGGGCCAAGTCCCCGGAGCCTGAGCCTGAGCTGGAGGAGGAGGTGGATGAAGGAGCAGTGCGACTGGACACCTGTAAGCCTTTCTGCATGCTGCCATCTTGTGGCTGCACACTAACATACAGTTCAAACCTGCCTTCAGTGGAATCCCCCACACCCAGCTCAACAATAATTAATTGACGTGAATGAACTGGGTTAATTGCTTCACCAACTCCCATCCTTGTTTTGATCAGACAACTGCGACCTGCATTTTGACGTGAGCCCGGACGGCAGCGCTGGGCAGCCCCTGCTTTCTGAGAAGTTCCCCCTGTTGTGGTCGGGCTGTCGCCTGACCCACGGTGTTGACCAGGGGAAAGTGGGCTTTGAGGCCAAGGTGGGAAACCTTCTCTGTTGCACCTGCTTCTGCTCATGTAGTGTTTGCTGCTGAATGGACCTGTGCACTAGAGGGCTGCACAATTGTGTAAAAAAAAAAAAAAAATCCGCGATCTCGGTTCACACCTCTGCGATCTCATTTCTAAATTACAACGGTTCTTCTGCATTGTATTGCGTCACCTGGATCAGAACAAGCGCTCCTACTTTTCCCCCGAGAGAGTCTCAAGCGTCCCATAATTCTGCGTTCTCTTTAACAGGAACTTTTCCACCTCACCAAACACCTTACTTTTGTTACTTCAAGTAGGTACCAAAAGTACGGTACTTCAAGGTGTTGGTTTTCCACTGTCGTAAAAACCGGTACCGGCACTGAATGACATACCCCGCCTAGTGCTGTGATTTTGTACTGAATTCGAGAACTTGCTGCAGTATATTATAGGGCTGGGCGACGTGTGATATTAATAACATTGCATGTTGTGCATGTGCCATTCTTACTCTGCCAGTCAGCTAGAGTAAGATCAGACTCTTTCTTACCTTTCCCGTTGTGTACGGACATTATAGTGCAGGGAACTTAAGTCTCGCTAAAACATTTTTACTCTGTCATAGGAAAAAAATGATCAAGCTTTGCAGTTTTAATTTTTTTTCCTTTTTGAGATTATCTAGTATAAGTTTAAAAATCAGTTCAATGTTTACCTCCGCTCTTTCTGCATGAGCGCCTCATGCATTCTCTGAGACAATCGTAATCATTTTCTTCCTTGCTGTTTAAATCTGCTTGACTTTTTCCATTTAGTGAATGTTTCTGAACAACTGTAAACTCACTGCATCTTGTACTTAGACAGGATAAACATGAATGCTGTTATCCTGCTTACGGAATGCACATTCTTTGTTTGTCTGCCGTTGTTCCCTGTTGTCCTCTATTGTTTGATCAGCTGTGGTTTTTGCTTTCTTAAAGTATGTGAAGAAGCTTCCCGTCACAGGCCTTAACCTGGAGGAGTCGGACACCTATGTCCTGAGGGTCGGCTGGTCTGTGGACAACTCCAGCTTCCAGCTGGGTGAGCAGCTCTGCTCTGCATTCTGGGAGAGCATATGGGGAGGTGATGCTGTCTGGGCTGGAATAAGTACAGGCATTTTTTGGATCATTGTGTTTATTTTATAAAGAATGCACTACTACATTACTGAAAGCAGAGGGAAACTATACTGTAATTATGCTACAAGAAGATGTAGAGACAAAACTGGTAAATGATGGAAGAGGGTCTCTCTGATCCAGAAACCCTTTGCCCTTTTATGACCCTGTGTGTAATGTTCATTTTCACAGGTCAGGTGGAGTTTTCCTACTGTTACGATGCACGGGGTAGGAAGGTGACGGAGGGTAAAGAGGAGGAGTTTGGCGAGCCCTTCTCAGAAAGCGATGTCATTGGCTGCTACGCGGTGAGTTGGCAGTTGCTGGTCATTATGGCTCCTCCCCCTCTGTTCTCCTCTCATCCCACTTTGTATCTTTACCACCTCTCTGCTGGTGTACGTTGCTCCTTCCACTTTCTTATCCCTGTTGCTTATCCACCCCTCCCAATTTTTGCCCTGGCACTATGCATAAAAGTCTGTGGGGGGGGGGGGGTGGTCTCAAATGTTGCATTGTGCAGGGAAGGGTGTTAATGACTGATGGGGTATATCTTTTTATGTCCTCTCACTGAGTGCTTCTCATCCCCCCCCCCAGGCATTTTTGGACAGTGAGGTAGAACTCTCTTTCCACAAGAATGGCGACCCCCTGGGCGTGGCTTTCCGCTTGTGCCGTTCCACCCTGGATGGCCGCGCCCTCTTCCCACATGTGCTCTGCCGGAATTGTTCTGTCGCGCTCGAAATAAACTCGAGTGGATCACCGTGGTACCCCAGCCCCGCAGGCTTCACCCCCATCTCGTCCCTGCCCCCCGAGCTCAGGGTCCGGGCCCCGCTGCCCCCAGTCTCAAAGCGTGACTGTGAGGTGAGGGCTCCTCTAGGGGGTGCTGTTTACAAGTTACTCAGAATTCGCCTGTTGTCTCCAAGTGGACTGTGTGAGCCTGTGATGCTGGTCTTGCCTTCCCCTAAGACTATGGCTTCTATGGCAGGTTTTGATGATGGTCGGTATGCCTGGTGCTGGAAAGACCCACTGGGCCCAAACACACATGGCCCAGCACCCAGAGAAGCGTTACAACCTGCTGGGCACACGCACTGTCCTCGGAAACATGCGGGTAAGCCCCGCCTCCCCTGCCTGCAGTCCCCGCCTCCCCTGCCTGCAGTCCCCGCCTCCCCTGCCTGCAGTCCCCGCCTCCCCT